GTTGAATTTTCAATGAATGTTTGTATATTCTATCATGAGTTCATTACAGATGTTCAGCAATATATAAGGAGGTTGACTCCTTGATTTACGCCACAACTTGTGGCTTAGGGAATACAAATAACAGCTCCTTGAATTAAGGAGTAGACAACACAATATCAATACCCCACCTGTCCCCTTATTGTCTAGTGTTACCGTAAACCATCCTAATATTCAGGAAATCCTGATAACCACTGGACAACCACTGGACAGCTTCCAATAGTTATAATATTTACTTGCTTTTTCAAAAACCAAATGCAGACTCTGTGTGCTTTGTTGTCAGTTTTGGATGACAGGGGTAAACGAGAGGCTCTTCTTATTGAATCCCTAGAGAAACGAATAGCGTTTCTGTGCCAAGCGATGTCAAGTAGAATGGTAAATAGTGATAGAATTGACAACTTGGCGCAATCTGATCAATCTGAGCTGGATAGTGTTAGAGAAGACACTTATTCACCAGTATCTGATGTAGACAACAACTTATCTGGAATTGCAAATGATTCTCTGCCTTCATCTGGAGTTGTGGTTCTTGAAGTTAGAAAGAAAGGAGAACAACAGAAACAGAAATGGAGCCGAATCCAAGCATTTGATTCATGGTTATGGAATTCCTTTTACCTAGATCTTAATGCTGTCAAACATGGTAAACGATCCTATTTTGATACACTTACTAGATGTGAAAGTTGTCATGATTTGTATTGGAGAGATGAGAAGCACTGCAGGATTTGCCATACGACATTTGAGCTTCATTTTGATCTGGAAGAAGCGTATGCCATCCATGTAGCCACATGTAAGGAGAAAGAAGCGAGTGATAGTTTTCCTAAGCATAAGGTCCTCTCATCACAGATCCAATCACTAAAAGCTGCAATGCATGCAATTGAGGTAACCCATCATTTGGATTTAGCTTTGCATTTTCTGATATTTGTTTGTTATAGTAGTGAAGATGTCCTCCAGTTACCAACAGGAGTTGGTCCAAATGGAAGGGGCTTGGATCCTTTAAACAAGAGGTCCTGGGTTCGATCCCAGGCGCTTGCGAATAGAGCAAACTTTGTTGGGAGAAGTCCCCGCTTTGCGCCCGACAGTACCTCGAGGGTTAGTCCCCTGATATTTGTTTGTTATAGTAATGAAGATGTCCTCCAGTTAAAAAGATTTCAAGCTACACATATCTTTGATAGATTGGGGGAGAATAGGACTTCAGTTGAGGATCAACCTAGGAATGAATTAAGTGGTCATGGTTTGGATAATTAGAATGTGACTTGGAGATTTATGTGCAATCAAATCCGATAGCTTTTATATAATTTTAAAAAAAAAAAAAAAGCCAAAAGAGGAATTTAGCATGCGTTACTGGGAAGGGATTGATGAAAATGCATACTACTGTGAATGGAGCAGAATGGTTGATTAGCATCCACCTGCCCTATCTGATTAGTTCTGGCCTCTGGTAGCTAACCCTAAATAGTGGGATTATTTTAGTTGGATTTTGGGGCCTGAACCTTTTGATTGTCTGATGCTTAAAATAGGTTTTCTAGGTTATATATCAAAGACATTTCTATTCGCCCCAAAGATTTTAATGTTTTTCGATGCTGTATTGATCTCCACCTCCCTCTGCTTTGTGTAGTCAGTCATGCCAGAGGATGCTTTGTTGGGTGCTTGGAAAAAAATCTGCTCATAAGCTATGGGTGAAACGACTAAGACATACCTCATCTTTGGCTGAGCTTTTGCAGGTTTTCTATTTTCCTCATTTCACACTATCTATTTTTTGTTTATTTTCTAGTCCGAACCATCAGTTTCTTTATTGTTTACTCGTGCAGGTTCTTGGTGATTTTGTTGGTGCCATCAACGAGGACCGATTATATGAATGCAGTATAATGCAAGGTTCTTGTTTTCCACTTAATTTCAACAATGCTTTCCTCGCTCAAAAAGGTCACTAGGGCTTCAATTTCAAAACAAGGCCCCGACGAGTATAGCCCCGGGGCTTTACTTTTCTGTTTAAAGCGTATAGCGTGCGACTGTACTCTATAAATAGAATATCTTAGCCGTATAGCCGAGTGGCTATATCTCATAAATAGAATTTTGATAGTATAGCCGCTCGGCCTTACCATTCAAATAGAATATTTTAAATTTATAGCCGGAATATCTTAGCCGTAGAGCCACGCGGCTATACCCAATAAATAGAATTTTGACAGCATAGCTCCAGGCTATACCCTTTAATAGCATAATCTTGATTTCTCTTTTTTAATTACTTTATTTAGTAGTTATGTTTTAATTATTATTTACCTAGTGAATACTTAGTGTTTAAATATTTGATTAAATAATAATAATTTAAAAATAATAATTACCATTTATTAAGTAATATAATTTAATAAGTTAATTAAAACTATGTAGTATAATTCAAGTGGTTTATTTTTCCCACTACTATGAGGTTGCCCCATTAAATGGAATGTGTTCAGTCATTTGTAAGATAATATCATCTGAATGGTGCAAATTGCATTATATATAAATACTTTGATAGTAAATATTATTTGAATATTCAATGAGATTCAAGTAGCCGTAATTATTATGGTGGTTTATAAGTTTAACATTTTTGAACCTTGATTGTATAAATAGAATATTTTAAACGTATAGCCGCGCTTCTATATTGCCCGTGCAGTGATGCTTTTAAAATATTCTATTTATACAGTATAGAAGTGCGGCTATATTGTATAAATAGAACATTTTAACATTATAGCCGCACGGCTATACACTTTAATATAATAAATTCAAATATGTAAAGAGTATAGCCGCCCAGCTATAGGCTATACTCTTTTAAGATGATTCGCTATTTGCAACTCAAAAATCCTATATGGATTCTCGAATTTGGAATATAAATTTCAGTCATAATTTTCATCTCTCTTCCCTTCTCTCTCTTTCTTGTTTTCTTCTTCTTCACATGAATTGCACCATGGAAATTGTTCTTGCATCGCGGTTGGTCCAAAATATTGTATGCAAGTGATCATAATATTAATCTGTGTATAATCTTTTATCTTTTATTTTTTTAAATGCCTATTCTTGTTATCATATTTATTTTGTGAGCTACAAACATCTTGTTTCTACATAGAGTAATGCTACACTTAACACATTTTTATCCCACATTTACATACCACATGATATGGCATGTCCATATCATATGCCACATCAATTAAATCAATGAAGTATATTTTAATTAAGAAAATTAGAAAAACAAATAATGGAATAAATAATAAAAGAAAAGAAAATGTTAAATAATTTTAATGAATTGATGTGGTTGCCCACATCAGCTGCCACATAAGATGGTATAGGAATGTGGTATACAAATATTGTAAGAGTAGCATTATTCTTCTACATATTGTATGTGGTCTCTAATTAATGTGCCTGTGTAAAATTCTTGTAATTAGTGGTTTTTTACATGTTGAATAATATTGAATTGGATATAATGTTTGGGCATGGACTGAAGTAGGCCCATAACTCAGACCCAAAAAGAAGCCTGTCCATTACGCCTCTCCATTGGGGTCTAATAATCTTGGGGTCCATTAAGGGTTTGGGCTGTCATTGTATAACCCACGTACACGAACACGAACACGAACACGAACACAAACACAAATACGAGTACAGATATGCTATTGATACGCTTGGGAGTTTAACATATTGTATAAACACTTCGGAAAGCTTGGCCGATGATTGGGACAGATCCAATGAACTGGAGAGCTGCAAAGAAAATCTAATTCCAATCTTAATGTTTCCTAAGAATGTTGCTTTGCCCTAAAAAGAAAGCTATAATTCGAAAATCAGCTCACATGATAGAAGACATGATGCATATGGCATAACGCAAACGCAATATTTGTTACCACCAGACACAATATCAGTGGAGGAAACAGAGCAGATCTATGGACCTCGGAAGAAAATATGATGTCGGTTGTTTGTTTGTGTAGTGTTTCTTGGTGCATTGCATTCATCTACTTATAATTAAATCACATTTCTTGAGTGTAACAATGAAACGAAATCCTGTCGTTTTACTGCTCCAATCCAACTGGTGCAAATGCAATGAACAGTAACTTTTGCCTCGACTTTCAACCCTTTTCTGTTCTGATTTTGGAGTAACTTATTGAAGAATAATAAAATGTCCACTCAAATAATTAATCATAAACATCATTCATTCCTAGTATCTTGTCTCAACCAACCCTTAAGCAATCTGAAGAGTGAGAACCGAGAGTTGTGTTCATGTGTTATGTTGTATTATGTTCAAAAACTGGACATTAACCTCATAAATTATAACTTTATTATTTGTTAATCTTATAAACTAAACCATCATTTTAGTAACTAATACATTACATTCACTGATCAGTCAAAATACCAACAGAACCAGCTACTGTTTATAATCCTGTTGAAAAAAAATATTACAAGATAAAGATTTAACCTCTTTTTGGCACATGCACGTTGCTTTGGGATTTTTCTGAGTGGAACAAGTTTGGTGAGTTGAAGACAACTCAACACACAGAGATTTTGGTCTGAAAACTGATGTGATATGAATGTCTGAATGATAGTGGGCCTGCTACTGCTGCCGCTCACGAGACTTGGCTCGTGACTTTAAAAATCCAGCACCTCTTTATCTTTGCTGGTCTTTCTTAATTGTGAAGTTGAAACTTTACCCCATTGCATTTGCATTGCAGCTCTACCTTGTTCTTGTTGTCTAGTCTGTGTGGTGTTGTTTGTCTTTTTCATATGGTGCAATGCAAATGGGGTTTCTTTGTCAGCTCTGCAAGGTTCACCGTGAAGTTTGCATTGGTATCTGAAATGGGCCACAATTTTTCTGGCATTTCTTGTCATCATCATCATGTGTTGGAGAAGTGCAGTGCATGCCCTGCTAATCCTTCCATTGGTTTATAATATATCATTTTCATATGCAATTTTATATCCAAAATTCGTACACAAGCTTACATCTGCTATCATATTCCTCTTTTTGGCACATTTGATATTACACACTTTTGTTTTCATTTGTGACTAAAAACAAACAGTAACTTCTAAGTTTTCCATTTCAAATTTGAAACTTGGAATCTCCAAACTGCCCAAAAACGGACGTCCTTCCTCAGAGAAAAACTTAGTTGCATATACCCGACCAATAACGCCATAACAAGCGCTACTGCTATTCCCGTGGCATTGTAGTCTTGGTTGGTCAGAGAGAAGAGGAGCGGCAGTTAGTGTAAATAAAAAGTTTTGAGTGACATCCATGTTATTATGTCAAAAGTGATGGGAGGCCAGCGCTATTAAAAGAGAAAATATAGTAGTTTCCCTACTGCAACAAGCAGTCAAAATTGAATTGAATCTCCAACCTACCAAAATCAGATTGGATGGGTTGGATAGAGGGACTGGGAGAGCATCTTCCACTCTGAATGCTTTTTCGCTTTGGAACGAAATCAGATTTTAATAAAAGAAAATAAAATGCTTCTTTTACAATTCAAAAAGTACTTTATAAAAGCAAGAATGCTGTCGGAATGAAATTAACCAGTACATATGCAAGGTTGTTGGTCATAATAAATCCTCCATCGCAAACCCTACACTGTGTGGGAAGCTATTAATTTAAAGGTGACCACACCACACCAGCAAAAATTGATTTCCAACAGCCAGTTTTTATGAGTTGCATTAGAAAAAGGGAACTAGGAGGATTGCTATTCCGGCCTCTGTCATTTTCTCCTGGAAAGTGGAACCTCAAAGAAAATGAAAGATGCAGAACCTGTTGAGTCAAATCAATCTCTGAATGCAGAAAATAATGTCACATACGGTTTGATTGATTTATACAGATTTCCCCCATACATTTCAAAAGCAACATGATTCTATGCCGCTTGAGAGCAGAGACAAGGGCACACTGATAGATACACAAAACCACAGAAAGATCTCATATCGGAGTTTTCTTCAGTTTTTCATAATGACCCATCACTTTATAGACAACAACAGGTGAACCTATGGTTTCACTGGTCTCATCATACATAGCTAAAGCTAAAATATCAAAAATAACCCTACCCTAGCTCAAATTTTCTTTTTTCCTTTGTTTTTACAGAAGCACGTAGAACACACAAAAAGAACAGAGCCCTCATCATCCGGTTCTGTTTTTCCCGCGTTTTATCTCTCAAAATCCAATTAACAAAGCTTCAAATTTCAGCACAAACCCCTTCCTCAATGGAGCTTCTCGCTGATTTGTCGTGGGATTCACTTGCAAACCGTGATAACAGAGAACAATCTGCAAGAAATGTGAAATTTTTGGTTATAATCAAAGCAAATTTGGAGATTGGAATTTGATATTCACTTGATTTGTTAAATAGAGAAGAGAGTGCTTTATACCAGTAGAGTACGAGTTCATGGATGAAGAATCACTGGCTGACCTTGATAACGAGGAAGAATCTGAAACCAAATTAATTGTTGAACTTAACTGATCCAAAAGAAAGCTTTAAAATCAAATAAATTTTACTAATTTAAGACAAACTAAAGTAATTTTTCATTCTCAGTACCTCTAGAATTGAATGATCTCTTGCAATGTAGAATGGCACTCTGAATCCCATCATGCTGCAACAACAGCGAATCGTCTCTCCGTTTCACCTGTGGCGCCACTGCCATCGTCGTGGCCGATTTGCTCTTCCCCAAGTTCTTACAAACAACTCTAATTCCGGCAGGAATATTCCCCTGCTTATCCTTCTTGGGCGAACACATAGATAATACCGGCACAGCAGGAGAACAATTCGGCGATGACATTGGAATATTACCAGAAGGCTTCACCTTCTCACTGCACTTTTTGGAAACCTTCATATAAAGTGGCTTGATTAGGTTCAGGTACTTTTGTATCATATCTTTCGAGA